GATGCGAAACATTCTTTTGATGTGAAACCTTATGGGCTTGATTTTGTTGTAAAGTCTTAGGCTTCGTCAATGAAGAGACTTTCGCATTTGGATAAGACTTTTCTTTACGAATGAAGTTGGGATTCTTGGACTGCCAGAACTGCTTTCTTTCCTTAACATTCTTGTTATATATAGCTTTTATTTGACGTTTTTGAGCAGCAAAGTGCTCTGAGGGTTTGTGAATATTGACCCTGGGTTTTGGCTTTCTGGTAGGGGTTTCGGCACGAACTGATGATGTATCACTTGGAACACTCTTAGTTCCACTTGGACTTCCCTTTTCGTAGCTTGAATTGACTTTGTTTAGAGGTTCTACTACGTATCTGCTCTTTTTTCTCCACGATGTCATTTTAGATAGACCTTTAGTTTCGTCAGTGTTGTCGATTGGAGCAGACCAGAAGTACTCATCACATCCATCCTTATTGTCATCATCGACCATGGACGTTAATTCAGTTGTTTGATTTTTGTCCAGTTCTTTGGTTGCAAAACTTGGTTGGGAACAGTTTGGACTTTAGGGAAAATTGTTGCTTTGGCTTTTAAAACTTCAGATTTATTTTCAGAAATACGTGTGAACTCGACTGAATTTTCAGAAATTAAGACTTTCGCAGGTACAGGTTCGTTTTTGACAAATTCAGAGCAGTCAACCTCATCCTCTATAGAGATTTCACTCATATCACTTTCATCGTCAAATTCATAAACGTTTTCAAGGTTAAGTTTATTTTCTGAATTTAACTTGGTGTTTAGAGAGTCAAATTTCTGAATAGTTTCGATTTTAATTTGCTCTTTTTGTCTTTTTCATCTAAAAGCAGTTAAATCATGTTTCTATGATCTTTGGACTTAATGAATGATTCGATTTTGTCCAGTCCTACCCTGTATGCATATGAGGTTTTGTCTGAAGAGACGATGGATTCGCACCTGTAGCAATCCACGTCGATTTCATCCTCTTTCAACTCAAGAAAGGGTAAAATCATCTTGTGGATTTTCTTGCCAATTTCACAATTAATATGCAACTGAGTGGTATTGAAATAAAGTCTTTTAGCAATTAAATAAAAAATATTACGCTGTTTTAAAAGACTCAAATTATACCTTTGTAAATAAATCGACTCATCCCTAGACATAGATAAATCAGACTCAAGCTTCTCTATCCATATGCGTCTCTCCTCACTCTTTGACGAGACCCTGCTGATTTGATCGGTTAGGTTAGAGTTTGTAAAACGAGTTCTTTTTAAACTATCACTAAAACTAGAAAAGGCGTATCTTAAATCATTTAGTTCAGTTTCGTAACGAGACAAGGGAATATTTAGAGACTCGATAATAAAGTTTACCTTGTTGATGACCTGCTCACACTCGCTTATTTGCTCAGGAACAGTTTTTGTAGCGAAGCAGCTATCAGAAGCATGGTCACCTTCGGTAGTATATCCTCTCAGTCCTGACACATCATTCGTCACCATTAAGTATTTACCTCCAAACTGCGAATCTTCTTCCTTCGCAACGAAACTTCTTCCATGAGTAGGCCTGCGAACCTCCTCATCTTCCGAATCTGTGGACCAGACTTCAACCCTGCCAAATTCATCTTCAGCCTTGTTTCCCTGCACAATCAAAACAGGCATAAAACTATTAGCATTCTTTTTCTTCTTTATCTCCTCAAGCTTTCGGAGATGGTAAGTCTCATCGTCTTCTCCTTCCTTCTTCTCGTTCAATCTACGCAGCATATAATCCTTAGCTAGGTGGTTTTTGCCATGACAATAGTTCCAATCATAGCAGAGTCACCCATGAGCTTCTTTTCCTTCTTGTCCTCATCTTTCTGAGAACTGTTTGCACTCTCCTCCTTTACCTTCTCAGAGTTGTAGCTTCCCTTGCCAGTTTCGGTTCTTGTTCTTGTTGAAGTTCTTCTTTGCGAACCTCTTTGTGTTGGATACCATCAATGCGAATTCTTCTTTAGAAAGTTCACAATCGGAAAGCTCAAACTCCAAATCATCATCTTCTGCAGCCTTCTTACCCTTAGCTATCAATGCCAGCGAACCTACTCCAGAAACAATTTTCCCTTCTTTTGTCACTTCATCTTCATGTGACCTTAGGATACCGACAAGCTTAGCCAACGTGTAGTTCTTAAACTACTCATGTGCTTTAACATTAGAAACAATGGTCTTCCATTCAGACCTTAGACCATTCATGAATGTGACTTTTTGCTCAATAAGCTCACGTCCAATTTTATGTTTCATCATCCTGCTGAGAAGATGATTGTATTGATTGAAGGTCTGATCTAAACTTTCTTCAGGCTTTTGCACAAAAGCTCCAAACTCTGACAGCAGCAACATTTGAGTCGAATGCTCCAGATCAACATTAGTAAAGTACAGTTCTTTAAGCCTATCCCAGATACCTTTAGCTGTATCACATGAACTAACCAAACGAAATGTGTCTGGCGGTAGGGAAAACCTAATAATCCTCATTGCCTTGACGTTGCTGATTAACTTTTCCTTCTCATCATGTGGAACATCCTTCACTTCAAGAAGGAGCTTGTTATAGTCAGACTGAGTTTTAATAACTCTTCTAGTTCCTGTATGAACAAACTCCCCAACAGTGATAGCATCCCAGATCAGATAGTCGTTGTCTTCTAGGCCAAGGACATAGTCTTTGAAGTGCAATGCCCACGCTTCATATTCACTAAGGAACAAGATAGGAATCCTGGTTGTGGATCTAATGCCGCTTGAGAGATTTATCGAGTTAACGTGAGAATCTTCTGAATGCATGTTTGTATATAGAACAAAACATGTATGAATCAGATGTGTAAACAAGATTAGGGTAATATTAAGATCAAGATCAGCGTCAACAGTTGAACAAACGACGATGACGGCTGATACAAGATCCAATAATAGTGGAAACCCTAAAAAGTTTCTTTCAACAGAAGAGATGCGTATAGATTACACGGTCTCTTGCTCTGATACCAATTGTTAGGATTGAATCCTAGTTAGTTCGAATAAATTCAAACAAGTAAAGAAAAAGAACACAGCAAATAGATCAAAATATGCTGAATGATTATAAGCCACAGCCTCAGAAGAACTCGATTAAGAATTACTACTGTAGAGGCGTGTAGGGTTACAAGATAATTTCCAAAGATACAAAGTACGGTGCATGCATGCACCTTAAATACTATAACCCTAATAATAAAAGACGGGTGGACAGGCCCAACCCGGATATACAAAATACAAAGCTAAAGGACCAAAAGACGCAACACTAAAATACTCAACAGATATCACTAAGACCAGATAATTCTTCGAATGAGATGTCTCTCAAACGAGAGCTGCGAAATAGGGCTAAACCTAACCTTCTGAAATTATTTAGTCATCATAATATGTAACTTAACATATTCGTTTACAAGCTAGTTAAAGATAACTAGAACTCCTAAAAGCACAAAGCAAGCAGCATCCGGGCATCGAGTAAACAAAACCAAGCATATCATAATCAGGCCATCATATCACTGACTAATCAGTACTAGCATGCAGTTCAATAAGCTCATACAGCAGTCATACAAGGCATTCTTCCTAGATCCTCAGCCCTAATCTAGCATGCAGTTCTCATAATCATATCATATTAGGACCAAAAAAAAGGATGGTGAAGACGTCGATGTCACTAAAGATGGAAAAGAAATAGAAGTTAAAGAGGATGAGAGATGGGATGGTGACCGGTAGGACCCAGATTATATTTCTCAAATTGGTTTCAGGTTTACAGTGAAGAGAAACAAATAGATGGGGTATATTAATATTTTTTAAATATATAGAAAATAAATACATAAATAAGAAAATTAATTAAAAAAATAAATTAATAAGGGCACAATAGTCTTTTTAGGTAAGACAGGGACCAAACTCGCAACAAAAATAAACAGTATGGATCATCCAAGTTAAAAAAACAAGTTAGTGGCCAAACATACAAATTCCCCCAAACCATAGGGACCATTCGTGTAATTTACTCTTACTTTTCGTTTTGTTCATATTTGAATAACTATTTTTTTGTACACATTTAGGTAACGAAGTTGTTAAAAGTGTTCACATATGACCATTATGACCTGCTGTAGCCGAATATAACCTGCTACAGCAGGTCATAATGGTTATATGTGAACACTTCCAATAAATTTGTTACCTAAATGTGTACAAAAAAAAATAGTTGATGTGAACAAACCACAAAGTTAATTACCTTGATAAGTAATATTCCCAAAACTTAAATAGTTTTTTAGACTTTAGGGTGTTTGGGATTTCTTTTAAAACAACTTTTGACTTTTAACTTTTTCAAAAAGTTGAAAAAGATCCAAAAAGATGTTTGGGCATTAAAAAATATATTCTAAAACAATTTTTTGTGTAGAAGGAAAATATAATGTTTCAAAACTTATAAAATCCTAACTTTTGGACTTTTTAACCTGAAAAGTTAATTTTTATCCTAAAACCAAATACAAACACTTTTTAAAGATTTTATTTTACAAAAAAATCACTAGCCAAAAACTCCTTTTAAAAAAGAACTTTTAGCCTTAAAAAATAATCTCAAACATCCTCTTACTTTTATCTAAATCTAAATGTTATTTTGACAACTTCTTTTAAATTTTTTTTTTACAACTTACACATTTTTTAACACGGTGTGATTTTTTTTCGGATTCACCTAAAAAAACAAAAAAAAAAAAAAGAAATGATTATAAAGCGTTTAATAATCTATGCCAGGAAATGTTGTATTTGCAGAAGAAAAAAACAAATTGATCAACGAATAAGCTTACAAGATAACAAGAAACTTTAAAGCTACACAAAATTAGATCATAATAACAGTTGGGATTCATTTAATAGCAAAAATGATGATAAACAAACCCAAATTGCTTGAATCTCTCTTTTTCAGAGATTGGAATTTGGAAGAATGAAAAGAAGAGAAAAGGGGACACTGGATTTACAAGATTTGTTTTTTCAAATTCTGAATTCTAACAAAAACTACCAACACTGATCCGTCTCCCATCGGCGACCGGTGTAGAAGGCAGAACTCTTTCCTATTGACCGCCGTTCAAATCCTGTAGTCAACTTCAGATCGTACAAAGCTCGTGCCGTTGGATCAGATAAAGTAGCGTAAGCGTTATGAATATCGATAAAATCAAAATCATCGTTCTGCTTTGAATCGAAAGCATCTGGATGGTACCGCTTCGCCAAACTCCGGTACGCCGTTTTGATCTCAGTAGGCGTGGCACTTCTCTTCACACGTAGAATATCATATAAACTTCTTGGTTTCGTCTTCGTAGATTCAACCATTGGTTCATCGATCACGGCATGAAGCGACGCCTTAGGAACATTTCGGCCCCCAATATATACATTGGATTTCGAGGTTGATCCGGTCGAGTTTGCAGGAGACAAGCCGTCACCATTGATGAATCGGAAAGAGATTGATCCGGCTGTGGTAGTTAGGATTCCGGCCATATTTTGATTAAACGGAGGCTGAACGAAGATCTCCTCAATAGGGTTTTTGTTTTTGAGAACGTTTAGAATGATTTTTGGGTTGTGGGAAAATCGATCCAAGTGGATTAATATATACTCCCAACTGGGGCGCCAACCTTTCGCCGCTAATTGTTTCATACAACACTTTTCCCAGATTGGAAGTATTTGAATTCAGATAAATTTACAACTGATGAGGCATACTTTACATATTTCAGAAAATGTTTTTATTCGATTTGGAAATCATGTCTCTGGATAAAGCGCATACAATGTTTTGGGCAGATAGTTTGGTGATTCAGTTGGCTCTTGCCTACTGGTTTTCATCCTTTTTTATATGAGTTTGGGAAATATATTTACAAGCATTTATTATCTTCGAATTTATTTACCAACCAGAAAATGCGCCTCCTTGTCTTCTAGGGACTCATCCGAGTTCGTCCATCCTTTTTAAAAGGAAAAAAATGTATCAAACGATATTAATATAGAACTTTATCCCACTTCAAATGTTTTAGATGAAATTAATTGTGTAAGTCAATTTGTTAATGTATATCATTTTTGAAATGTGTATCAAACGATATTAATATAGAACTTTATCCTTGTTAATAAAAGATTTTTTTAATACATATATTGACTTATTAGTTAGAGATGATATGCTTTAATGCTTATATTGTCTTCAACAAACTATATGACGTTAATTTTAGAAACATTTAAGAACTTAGCTGCCAAAATAGTCAAATATATAATAAACTGGATTATAATCCGCGTTAAACATATAAAAAAACATACAAATGTCTACCGAATAATAATTATTAAAAAAAATTATGATTATTGGTATTATTGAAATGGGTAAAAGATAAATTGAAATCGATAAATATTTATAATCGTTGAAAGACCTCTTTGTAGACAACATTTTTTGTTTTATTAGTTGAACGACAATTATTATCACATATGAGTACCTTCAAAATCATAAATAATTATATTAATGTAATTTGACGAAAGATTGATGGGTAAAATATTAGGGACAAGACTTTTAGCATTTTTTTTCTTGAAAAAAGATGAATCGTCACTTGAATCCATCACTTTGTTTTAGTGTTAATGTTTATACAAGTTAAATATAAATATATATATATATATATATATATATATATATATATATATATAGGCATATTAGTAAGTTTTATTATTTTATATGAGGAAAATAATAATTATAATGGGACAACATTATCTAAGAAATAAATGCTTGAAATATTTTTGGAGGGAAACAATCATAATCATTAACAAAATTTATATAAGGAATATACAAATTTAGATTGGATGAAATTATTGATGAAATTACTAACGAATATTATTTTGGAGGGAATTGTATTTTGTAACGTATAATACTATGACAAAATTCAAAATATGTATATTTGTTGTGTAAATTTATAAATTTTATTGTTACTATATAAAGATAAAACAAAATAGGTTGGTATGTTATAAAAAAAGTTAATCACTTTGTTTTAGCATTAATGTTACGTATAAAATCGATATATATATTATATATATATATATATATATATATATATATATATATCTATATATCTATATATATATATATATATATATACTGTAAGTTTATTATTTTTAATGAAGAAAGTACTAATTATAATGGGATGGGGCAATATTATCTAAAAATAAATACTTGAAATATTTTTGGATGAAAAAGTCTTGATCGTTAAAAAAATTTATATATGGAAAATACAAATTTAAATTGGGTGCAATTATGTATGAAATTAATGACGAGTAAATTGGAAGGTTATAACTGAATCCGATTTTGGAAAGTTTAAATTTGATAATGGAAACGTGTAAGTTATCAAAATAAATTTTTTTATGGATATAAGGAAAATACAAATTTAAATTTTATAAGAGAACGCGTAAGAAATAAATGCTTGAAATATTTTTGGAGGGAAAAAATCCGGATCTTTAAAAAAATTTATATAAGGAAAATACAAATATAAATTGGATGAAATTATAGATGAAATTAATTACGATTAAATTGGTAGTTACAATCGAAATCCAATTTTGGAAAGTTTGAATTTTATAAAGGAAACACGTAAGTTATCAAAATGTAAAATTTTAAATGCGGGAGAATATATAAAAAAAATACATATAAAGTTATAAACAATCGACACAATAAAAAAATAAAATAAAGCAACATAAAAAAATTTATTCTAATAAAAAAGAATAATTTTTCCGCATGTTATTTTTCTCATTCATTTTGCCACATGACATTTTTGGTATTTTTTAATTAACTATTTTATACTTGTCATTATTTTATGTTTTTCAATTATTTAAGAATGTTAATTATATTGTTATATAAGCATACACATTCTAATTAGACGTTCATTCCATAATAAGGTTACTTAATTTAAACATATATTGACAACCAATATACCGTTTTTCACTACATTAAATATTGACAACTATTTCATTTATTCAAATAAAGTTATAGAGTATAATTTATGGAATGATATATGTTATATGGATTTAATTTTAGTATATCATCAATGGAAATTCTTTTCAAAATCATGACTGGTTTATTTTAAATTGATTATGAATATAAACGTTAGCTTTTATGTTTTTTTCTTATTTATTTGGTATTCGCAAGAACTTTGCATTAGACTTGGCGCAACTTTGAATAATTTTGGTATATCATCAATGTAATTTGGTATGTATCTTTCAATTATATGAAGTATCAAATAATGACATTTCATTACTATTGTAATAATTTAGTTTATATATTGAATTTTTACTAATGTTAACGGTCTTAATTTTTTTTCTAATAACCGCATTGCTTTTAGTAATTGTACTTTTTATAAATCTCCTAATATCTTATAATTTTTTTTATCTTACTTTATAATTTTTCATAACTATCCTAATTTCAAGATTGACTATCTTAAATACAAAACTTTGTTCATTGATTTCGACGAAAAAGAGTTTCCCATAACCGATATATGACCTTAAAGATAGTGACAGATTAGGGAAAAATGTTGAAATAAGAGCTTTGACTTTATAAATAAAAAACACATATGCATATTGCTATTAACTAAATATGTTAAAAACAAAATAGAAATTACAATGCACTTTGTATCCACCGAATACAGTTACAACAACTCAAAGAAATTCAGAAATTTCAATTCAAAACATTATAGATTAAAGTCAAAGTACATTGTTGTTAACTAAATCTGTTAAAAACCAAGAAATATGGGCAAATATGTCAAATTAATAGCAATATAGTATTGATAATTAAAAACACTAAAGGGTAAATGGTAGTTTTCAATCACCAACTACCGAGCAATCCAAACAATTTCAGAAAAATTTAATTACGTAAGACATACATACATACACTTAATCAAAAGTCACTGTGTTTTTCTCATGGGCATTTTATCAAACATGTAGAATGCAACATCAAATGCAAGGTTAAAAAGACAAAAGTAAAAGATTGAAAAACTAATACTAACATTTATAATCAAGATTATTCATGCATTCAAAGATCACAGTCAAATACGACACTAATGAGAATAAAAAAATTGAATACAATTAATAAAAATTAAGAACATCATATTAAAGAAGGAACCTGGATGACGAACATGATGCTGCAAAGGGTGATGTTGTTCGAACGTGATGTTGCAAAGGGTATGAAGAAAACATAATGTACGAACAACAACACATGATTTATAAATAACTTTCAACAATGATTATGGAAAGGATATCAAATTTCGAATTCTTTGATTCTTTGAAATTCAGCGACAATATCTCGTAATCTTGTAGATATGTTTCATATAATAGATGTGAATTGAAAGAATATACGAAATGTGCCAACTAAGAACGTGATTTTAATTAGAAAGGAACGAAATTTATTTTCCAAAATTATGATGAGGTTTAAATGAGTTGAACACATTCCTTTTATAAATGACGTTAATATTAAATTAGTTAGTCAAGCTTTCAAATTTAGTCAATATTAAATTAATTTTATTTTATTTTAGGATGACATCATCAAAATGATCCAAAGGTTGAAATGTCAAGGAAACACAATGAATGTCCCTGATTGTTGAAGGTGATGTCATTAGGTTTCTCTTTTAATATATATAGAGATTTGATCGGTAAACTTTAGCCCAAAAGAATTCTTAGCCTAGCCAAATTTAAGATCATTTAAAATTAGATAGCCAACTTCAAATTTTGCCCTAATTCTTTTCTTTTGTGCGTGCGTTTTTGTGACTGTAGGTAACAACAAAGAAAAGCGCTCCTCTTCTTTTCCTCTTCTTCTTTCTTTCTGTTGTTCCAATTACTGCAGGGGATGTCTCCTGTAAAACAGGGATTGGTCTCGATGGTTGACGGGTATCGTAGGAATGGTGATATAAGGTGGTGGTTGAAGTCTAAAGTAAACATGTTATGTTCGGTGGTTTAAACAGGTGTGGAGGGTGCTTTCGGTAGTGGAGGTTGTTTTCGGCTTAGGAGGTGTTCTACAGTAGGTGGTATAAGTTGGGTATGGTTGTGGTTTGAAGTGGTTTAAAGGGTGGTTCCTGTGGTGAGTTTCTTTTCCAACTGGGATGGTATCAACAGGTGGTTATCAGTGTTTATCGGCGGTTTCGATGGTTCGACTGGAAGAAGGGCCAAGGTGGTTGTGTTCGAAGTTTTTGTGGAGGGTGTTTAGGCTGTAATTGTGTCCGACAATAGTGGTGTTCTCGTTCAAGGCTAGGCAACAGGTATAAGGGCGGAATAAGGTGGCGGTTGTAATTTGATTATTTCCCCTTGAAATCCCCTTCATTCATTAAACACAATATATAGGATACATTGAGAAAAGCCCGAATACAATGGGCTGAACATAATTAGGCTATACTAAACAATACAAAACTAAACACAATACAATTGTATATAATCTGCTAACAACCACACAACGTGAACAGGAGGAGAATCACGAACGTTCAAGTTGGACCAAAAGTCAAGAA